CCGGTCCGGCGCGGCCCCCCCCCCCCCCATCCTCTGGTGCGAGAAAAGCTTGCCCCCCTCTCCCTGGTCTGCAGGGAGACTGGGAGCAAAGCCTTGGAGCACGCCTGCAGCGGGACAGCCCAGGTGCGCCTGGGCTGCCCCGCAGCCTCAGCCCCTCCGCGGCTTTGCAAAGCCGTGGGGGAAGCCGGCAGCGGGACAGCCCAGGTGCGCCTGGGCTGCCCGGCTGCCTGAGCCCCTCTGTGGCTTTGCTTCGCGTCTTCCTGGTCTGCACACCAGGGAGACGCGGAGCAGCTTTTCTCGCCCCGGAGTACACGGGCAGCGGGACCACGAGGTCCCGCAGTCCGTGTCCTCCGGGGCGAGAAAAGCCGCGTTCGTAACTGCAGATCCGACATAAGTCGGATCCGCGTAAGTTGGGGACTGCTTGTATATGGTTGTGACTATTTTCTTCCACTATTTGATCTGAGGAAGTGGGTCTGGCCCACGAAAGCTCTTCATCTAATAAACCATCTTGTTACTCTTTAAAGTGCTACATAGTCCTGTATTTTATGTAGGCAAAAGAACTGCATGTCAACAATTTTATAACCACAATTGGAACATAACCACTAGGAACTGCAATTCTACCACAAGTCTCTCTACATATATTAAAGTAAACTTAGTCCTTACAGAAGGTGTCAGAATGAATGGTATTTCAGTTTCCATTTACCCACAGAATAAGTACAGACCAAAGACCAGAAATACAGGCTTCGCCCCACTGATCAGTAGATAGGCATCGGCCCTATCCTGGGCATCCCAATTCAGTAGCTAAATGAAATAATGATTCTGTGAAATAAACATCTATCCATTAGGAACTGGATTGATTCCACCAAATTAGTGGTAATATAACATGACTTCTGGTCAGTACCTTCACAGGTCAGATTTGTATGAATAACCTAGAAGTGAAAGGGTCCACAGCCTTAATGCCAAAAATCCAAGCCAACCAATCCTCGTACAGTGTAATATTTTTTCATACCAAAAAAAACAAAAACAAAAAACTCAGTTCAATTCTTGCTCCCCACTTTTTAAGAAAACAGATTATGCACAATAAAAGATAATTTTAGTATATGAAACTAAAAACTAGGGATGCCAATGAGTTGTCAACTAGACGATTAACTGATAAGTCTAGGCACATTGGTTAATCTGTCGACTACTTGCACACACACCCTTTCTGTATCAGAGGCAGCACGGCGGGGGGAAGCAGGAGCTGGTGCTGGGAGGGAGACAGTTTAAAAGCCGGTTCCCCCTAACACTGGCTCCACAGTGCAGCTTTTCCCTGTTTCCCCAGTGCTGCTGCCTCTATCAGAGGCAGTGGGGGGAGGGAAGGGGTAAAGGGAGGCTGTCGCGAAGCAGCCCCTGTCTGCGGGGGGTCTGAGCTCTCCGCAGACATAAGTTGTTCTGCATCTCCCAGGCTTGCCATTGGCAGAGGCTGCTCTGTGGAAGACAGAGCACTCTCTGTCCGCAAGGAGCTCGGACCCCTCCCGTGGACAGGGGCTAACAGATAAGAATTCACTATTCTATTACTTGATATCTAACATCCCTACTAAAAACTTACCTAAATCCAATGATCCCTGTGTTGGCCATAGCATATGATAAGCCAAGTATTCCGCTTCCCATGATTGCATTCATTAAATTAAATACTGAGAAACCAAAGGAAACACCTGAAGATGCATGATTCGGAGCTCTCTGAAAATACAAAAAACAAATACAATTAGTGTGAGGGGTTTTTTTTGTTTTGTTTTATTTTGGGGAGACCAAAGAAATTTCAGCCACTTCTACCTCTCTCCATGAGCAGACCCTAATAAAACCCTAAAAGCAAAACTTTAAAAAAAAGTACAGCTTGGTAATAGACCCCAAATATAGTAGTTCTCCAAACTACAGTGATTTAGATTAGAATGAATGTGGTTAACACTGTTTGTTAAAGGCAGCTTTGATACCTATTGGTGGGCAGGAGGAAGGTAAAGGAACAGGCAACACTAGGGAGAGTTGAATGCTTTCAATAAAGTATCAAACTTCTCAGAAAAAAGTGTCCTCACCTTAAAGACCTGCACTATTCTGTATGCCTGCATCTATGCTCATTTCTTCTTACTTCACTTGATATCTTTGCTATCTGCCCCACTTTATATCCTTGTCATTTTTCTACCACCTTCTCCAGATATCATTTTATAAGTTATCCTTTGTGTTCTCCATTCTTTAAAATATCCTCAAAGTACACTTTGAAGCCTTTCAAAAACAAATCCTCCAGTATTCCTACTCAATGACCACATCACATATCATTTGTCTGACCCTGCCTATTTCTCTCCTGTTGGGATGGAGACTGTCCTCTTATTTGCCTTCTAGGGCACCACGCCACAATAATACTAATAAAAACAGCAACAAAAAATGTCAGCTCAGCAATTCGCACCCATGTCCCCCCACATTATCATCAGGGCTACTTGCCCCTGCTGGCTTAAGGAGTTTGGTGATCCCAGTCAAACGAACAATTGCTTCACATCACAAACAACTCACCCCACCATGACTGGCCCTAATCTACTATCTTGGGATGGAAGGATCAAGTAAAAAAGATGAGGCTTGGAGAATGGTCTATATCAGTGTTCACCAACCAGTAGATCGGGATCTACCAGTAGATCTTGGAGCCTCTGATAGGTGATCCTGACTGGTTTGGCTGGGAGGCTATCAAGTGCCAGCACTTCAGCTACCCTCCCCACACTGCCCTGCTGCTCCTGTCCAGACCCTCAGAGCTGCCCTCTGGGAGCCTCCTGCTTGTTGCGCAGGTTGGGGGAGACAGAGGCCAGGGGTGCTGATGTCACTCTGACTCCCTCCTCTGTATCCCATCTTCCCAGAGTGAGGCGGGCAGGGCTTTCGCAAAGGGGTGGGGCAGGGGTATTTGGGTTTGAGGTAGATCCTGAAGTGACTTAAATTCAAAAAGTGATCTTGTGCTTAAAAAGGTTGGAGACCCCTGGTCTATATCCTCCCATCCCCAGTAGCCCCCCAAACCTCAAGCTAGAAAACCTGCGTGGGGGATGAACGGGGGGAGGACCAGTCCTGGGATAAAAAGTCTGCCCCCTACATCCTAGCTCCTCTCCGAGTCGTCTCCCCTAGTGCCTGGCGCCTCTCTCTGCCCTCCCCACTCTGAGGCCTC